GGGGGGGGGGGGGGGGGCGTGCGCCCCCCCCCCCCTTTTGGATACGCCACTGATAACAAAAGAAAAAATATTGAATCTGTCCATCTTGATAATATAATATTGATTGGAGAATATGCGATCTGAGAAAATCAAGAAGGGTGAGATTCAGGGAACAATTATAGTTGGTCTAAGATTCAAAGAAATTTCAAGTCTGTCTTGTTCACATTTGTGGCCCTAAAAAATCGTTATTGGATATGACTATATAATTAATATAGGTTTAATATTATGTCCTTATGTTTTCTTTTAGTTACAATATCAGCTTCACCAGTACAATTCAAAGGAATTCTGTTACAAGCCAGGCGAACAAATGGGAATACAACTCCAGTTGGGACATGGCAGACCCCGCCAATTGGATTTAAATTCCTCCAATGCTCAGCTCCTGGTGATTCTATTACACATTCAAACAGTGATCTTAAAGCAACTGTTTCATTTGTTTGGGTGGCTCCTAGCACAGGAAACGAAGATATCCAGTTTGTGTAAGTAGACACATGCTAAATTGAAAGATTAGTATTGTTTATTCTATGCCTTAAATCTAAATATTAATACATTTATTATTGATTATAAAACATTTTTCTATTCTTGTAACATAATTTACTAAATTACTGTAAACATTTTGTTTATCAATATTGATAATATAAATAATAATTTTAGTATAATTTATAAATAATAATAATAATAATAATAAAACAATATATAATCCAAAATAATAATAATAATGATAATGAACTTGGGAAAAATGCTGAACAGTTTACAATTGTTTAGGAAGTTCAGATTTGGTTCAGCTTTCATTAGTTTCTTTAGAAGTTTCTCAAACCTTCTACAATCATTTTTGCTCACATCACTATGTTATGTTATAATTTTGATTTCTCTTCGGTCGTATGGCTATATTATTCAAGATTTGAGTCAACATAGTGATGTGAGCAAAATGATTGTAGAAGGTTTGAGAAACTTCTAAAGAAACTAATGAAAGCTGAAGCAAATGTGGACTTCCTAAATAATGATAATATAAATAATAATTTTAGTATAATTTATAAATAATAATAATAATAATAATAATAATAATAATAATAATAAAACAAGCATTCTATTAGACACAGCATTTTTATTTCTTTGTGGTCAAAATAATAATAATAATTAAAAAAAAAAAAAAATAATAATAATAATAATAATAAAAATAAAATATAAATAAATATATAGGCCTACATGCATGATATTTTGATGTTTTAAGTGCTACTTTCCTTGAATTGTACATTTTTTAATTAATCTTGATTGTATTGATTATATTTTATTGGAATACCTTGCTGTGAATTCTTGTTTGTGTTTGAAATAAAAAATTAATGAATATTATTAGCATTAGAAATTAGGGGTTCCGCCTCTGGACCCATACCCCCCTCCCCAGCCATATGGTGTAGTCACTCACACATTTCAAATCTCTCAGGTTGGTAACTATGCATCTGTAAAAAGTAATGTTAAATCTGAGCATAAAGTGGTATCAATGCAGTGCATAAATTTTTTAGGAAGCACACTGGAAACATCAAAGCTGGGGGCCACTCTCAGTGTTAAATCAAAAATTCACTTCGGCCCTGCGACCCATTTTTATGCCCAGCCCTGATCTAACCAGAAGGTCATTGTGCTTGATGTGTGGTCTAGTAACTCGTTCAGATATACTTTTGTACTTTACTGATTTCTCAATTATGCACTATATAAAAATAACAGTATCTATATATTTTCTATATTTTTGTATAATCAGATTGACATTACCATTCTCATGCCTAAATAAGGTTATGATGACATCACATCATGATCATATATAGGTAGATCATGACTATATATGGGTACATCATGACCATATATGGTCATACAGTATGACAGTTTTTTGTCAAAGACAATTTGATAGTGTAGACTGAGCTTTAAAATTGTAATGCAAGTTTAACATAAAAAATTCAATTAATCACCAAAGACATATTACTTGGCTCACATTGTTAGAGTGTTGCCATAGCAACTGTATTGACTTTTATTTCAATGAATGGAGTTTCCGACACAAGGTTGATTATATTCATTTTACCAATTTTCTTGTATTTTTAATAGTACATGCAGAATTTCTTTATAAATATTTACAATATTATTGAAATGTTCATGTATCCATATCCATGTGAGATATGAAATTATTCAGCCATTCAATAACTGAGGTGACATGTGATAAAAGTACTGAAAATATGATAAATGTAATTGTGGTAATAGTGATAATAATACCATAGTGCTAGTGATAGTGCTAGTGATATTGATATTAATAATAGTGATAGGGACAGTGATATTATTAATAGTAACAGTGGAAGATAGTGATAATGTGTGTGATAGTGATAGTGAAATCTCCAAATATAAGATACCTGTATATATATTTCTTAAATATATAAATTATCAATCTCATTACTACATTCATTAATAAAATTATGTTTTTATTTTCTCCTCTGCCTAGATGATTTTTGGCAAAATCATTTTGCTAAATGAGAAGACAAAATTGTATTTTTCATTTATTTCCCGCCCTTCTCTGACAATCTTTTAAAAAAAAGTTCGCAAAACAAGGTATATTAAAAGCCTTGCTTTATAAATGTTGTTGTATGTTACAAAACAGTCAACATGTTTGTGATTTTGAATTGAAGATCTCACGATTACATTTATTTAGGGGTCATCTATAATTTTCATCATTTTCACAAGAGTACAAAATATACTCTTTTGTTTGACCCCACTCACTCCCTCTGAAAGATATTTGGATCATCATTTTATCTTTCATAAAAGAGTACTTCTGCCTACATTTTCAACCCCCTTTCTCCCTCCTCCCACAAAGCATATGGATGGCCCCTTACTGTACCAACTAATTTGTTTATTTTACTATTATTATTGTAATTGTGATATTTTGTTTTACAGGGCAACTTTTGTACAGGATCTTGATACTTACTGGGTTAAGGTCTTATCACCTGTTATCTCAGGTAAGTCATACATGGACAGATCCAGGCAAATCCAAGGTGTTTCTGCTGGGGGTGGGGGGTGGGGGTGGAAAATGGCAGGTGGAGTGAACAAAGCTCCAGTCACAGGTTTTAGGCCAGGGTTTGCAAGGGTAGTGTCAGAATATGGATTTTAAAAATTGAATATTTTAATTCTGCTACAGGCAGTGGGGCTTCAAGAGAAGTGGGGCAGAGTGTGGTGAGGGCCCATTTTCCCCCTCTGAATCGGCCACTGACATTCGTTCTGACACTGATTAGTAAACATGAAACATATGATGTCAGATGTTTTTAATGATATTGTAATCTTAAGAAATTCACTGAAGATCAGGCCTGGAAAAAATATTGTTGTGCTTCCAACCATGAAAGTTATCTTGATCAAATTCCTCCAGAACCAAATGTTATCTTTACACTATTATAGCAAAACAGTAGTACATTTAGTGGTTTGGAGCAAGTAAAAATATTAAATTTATTTATGCATTACATTGTGATGTATAAAAAGAAAATTATAAAATTTCTCTGGGTTAAAGGTCAATGCCTCCGGGTTGAAGACCAATGCCTCCGACCGCTGGTCGTGGGATTTTATGCTTTTTCTAGCCCTGCTGAAGATACTTCTTACGTTTCTTTTCTTTCATAATGTGTATACACAATTGACATATCATTTAAATGTCTTTTGAATGTTATAAATAGAAATAATATTATCATGCCAAGTCAATAACAATTTTAAAACATAGCTAAAATATGGGTTATATACACAATTAACATATCATTTTAATGTCCTTTAAGTGTTATAAATAGAAATGATATTATCATGCCAAGTCAATATAAAGTTTAAAATATTAAATAAAAGCTAAAATATGGGTTAAAGTAAACTATTGATGGAAAGATGAAATAAGCAAGCTGTTTCTAAGCTTAGCACCAGCAACTGTGAATCCCCTATCACAATACATATCAGGCCATACTGTAGATGTTATTAAAATTCTAGTTTTAATTAAAGTCTCCAAACTAACACTTCTTTTTCATATGCTAATTATTTGTGTAAAATAATTACTAAACATCTCATTCATTCATAATTACATGTGAAGCTAATTACTGTACTACTAACATATATATATTACAAATAATACAAGTGTGTTCTATTCTTCGATGGGAGAGCAAATTCTTTTCCTTGCTTGCTATTAAGGACATTTACAGTTAATACATTTCTTCATCGTTTTTAAAACCCATCTTGCTTGTTTTCAATACAGTAGTCTACGAAAATAAGAATTACAATTTAAAAAAAACCCCTAAAATTTACATAAACCCTATAGTCCTGTGCTGTAACAATGAGGCTTCCATTTACTGTATTTTTGTTACTATACAGTTGTACTTATATATATTTAGTTATGTAGTTTGATTGTTAATTTCAATATGAAGGGAAGTAAAACATAAAATTAACTCAATAATGTTGTAAAAAATTACATTATAATACTTCAGTTCTAAATTAACTAAGTGCTTACATGTACCGCACACACTAATTTGCATTTACACAAATGTTTTGTTTATTTTGAAAGAAGATCTAAAAATTGAACCAAGTTGGATAGAAGACATTTTAATCACCAGTTACTATTCTAAACTTTAATACAGGCTGAGTCTGAAATTTTTAAGCTTATTCTCAGCAAGGGAGAAATCAGATCAATATTTACTGTATATGTAGAAATTAATTTAAATAACAATATATAAGGCTGATTTTGCAAGTCGATAAATATCCTTAATATTTTAAACATTATCATCACAATATCCCCACTGTTATTTTGATATTTATTATTTTTCTCTAATTTGAATTAAGGAAATTTCAAAATACACCCTACAAATATAAATACATTAAATTATTAAAGTCCAACCATTTTTCTAGATATCCTAATATGATAAAATCCATATTCTCCAAAATCTCTCCAGGTTGTGCCTGTATTAAATATGAAATTATTAAGATTTAGTGTTTGAAGATAGTGGTTTATGGAATAAGAACCTTTTACATTTAATTTGTTGTAAATAAATGTTTTAAAATAATGATGATAGCTGGTGGAAATCTTTACAGCCTTGTTATATCAGCAGCTACTAACATCGCGGCATCTTGTCTCTGTATTCATTGTACGAAACACATCTGTGCTAATGTCAACAACAGAGGGCGTGTTCAAACAAAGAAGAGCATACAAAATAAATAACAATCTTACAATATGCAATTATGTCGTCAGTTGTATTTTTAATTTTTTTAAACTAAACAAACATTTTTTTAATTGCTAAAGGACAGAATACAATTTGATATAATGATGGTCTGTACAACAACATTTTGATAATGAAGAATTTGTATTGATTTGTTTTCATATTGATTACACTCCACATATACATAAGCACTCTTAATATATTCATGAATAACCTAATGTTTCCATCAAATTCGTCCACAGTATTGTCTTCAATATGATAATATGAAATGTAAGCCAAATATTAGTTAAAGTAATAATGATAGTGATATTATTATAAATAATAAGATGATGATGATGATAATAATAAGTATCTGGGGCTCCAGGCTTTTGTACCAGGGCTCTAGACTTTAGTCATGGTGACTTTGTTGCTTTTGAGGCCCCAAAGCATTTGTCTGAATAAATAAATAAATGAAATGAAGTGAATAATACCAACAACATTTATGATAATAATAGTACCAACTACAATAATATTAATAAGAATAATAAATCATTTGCATTTAAATATAGGTCTTCTCCAGTTAAAGACCATTTTTGGTACTGGTTTTTCCATGGTATTTAGCAGCCTAATAAAATAATAAAGATCTTTAATTGGAGGTGGTGTTAAATCCAAGGGGTTTTTAATTAGAGGTAGATTTGGAAATGGTAAATGTTGCCCAGTTAACGTATTTGGGAAAGATCAGGTAATGAGACCTTCATTGTAGAACAACAGTAAACTTGATGTTTTATTTTGCTGCACACGGTAGGATGCACCTTGCCTTTGCTGACCGGGAGACAATTGTTAATATAGTAAAAAACATGCAAACAGCATGAATTTTGTGGGAGATTGTATAATTTCCAGGACACTCACACGTCTCGCATAATGTAATATAGTTAAATTTTATATACTGCTTTATACTGAAACTGTTTAAAAGCGCTTAATGTGTGGACTAGCTCTTACAATAACTTGCTTCATCCCTAAGGTAAGGGTGTCTTCGTGTCTCAGTTACTCGGTCTACTCTCGTCTTCCCAAGACTTGGGACACTGAAATGCTCATAATAATAATTACAACTGCCTAGTGGTTGTTTATTTTTAAAAATATGTATGTATTCGAAAGTATAATATATACTCCAAGTATTGAAAAGCACGCCACCATGTTGGGATTCAATATTTCAACATTAATTATGTCACCATCAACAATGATGTATGTATTCTTCACTTAGCAGTCAGTGGTACAGAAAAAAAGAATACATTTCCTTAATTTTATAATTAAGGGTGTTATATATAACACTCATAATGCCTCATATCTCCCATTCCTTGTTCAACCTTTATTTGTAGACGTATGACATCCTAAATATTTCCACATAATAGAACACCTATGCCTCAGCTTTACTATAAATATTTGCATTGTTTGATCTTTGTTATTATCCAAACTGTTGAATACCGTACTCTGATTGTGATTCTGTGATTCAGTCATGCATATTGATTCTTTCGCTTTCTGGAATGATAGTCTTTAAGTACTGTACCTTAAACCCCATTAACTGGATTTGGCATTTCTATCATAAATGTATAAATATAATCATCTACTGCTAGAAAGATTATGGAAGTATAAATATAATCATCTACTGCTAGAAAGATTATATTGCCTTTCAGATTAATGTACTTTAGTGTTTATTGTTCAAATAATGATTAGAAAGATGGTATTAATTTCAACCTCAGTAACTGGGTTAATTGCTACATAGTACTTTGTCCTCAAAGAAAAAAAATGTTTCTCACATATTGGCATTCCTTTTACAGAAGTATGTATTCCCCAGTTATTCTATTAAAAAAATAGCCATTACATATAAAGTATTACAGTAGTCCTATATTTTTTAGTGTAATGTTGGCCATATACTTTAACATTTAAACTTCAGACAGGAAATACTTATTTGAAGTTTCTCTTTTTATTTATTTATTTTTTTATATGACTTTGTGGAATTTGTCAATTTCATTGTTGGAACTTGGATAGCTAACCTGTTGATTTGTCCATTGAACCATGTAAAGCTTTATTTAAATCTTTAGAAATTATGAAACTTAATTTTCATCCATTGTCATGGTCTATTGTAAGTAAGAAAGATACTTCTGCATATTTTTTCTATAGTAAGCCAAGGTTGTATACACCCAGAAAAGTGTAATAGTGTATTATAACACACTACAATAATAGAAACACTCCATTGTGTTTGAATTCAATATACAGTATTGATTCTTTGTTACGGTAGGCCTATGTCATCTTCAACTAACTAATTTATATTTAAGTCTTGAAGTTTTGCATGGCGATTGACATTAATGAATAATTATAGGTTTTTGGTACACCATGTGGCCTATGCTATATATCTCAATTTATGGTAATTTGGTTCTGAGAGGAACCGTTTGGATTGTAACATCCCAGCATTTCAGTTAGTATGTTCTAACCATCTACAGTTAAAATATATTCTTGAAAAACTCACAGTTTTTGTATTAATATATAAAAATTAGAAATAAGATGATGTTAATTCTAAATTGTAATAACTTCTAAATACATTTTAATGAAATTTCATAAGCTAATAAAACTATTAACACAAAACAATTTAGAAAGTATAATACATACTCCAAGTATTGAAATACACGCCATCGTGTTGGGATTCAACGTGGCGTGTATTTCAATACTTGGCGTGGCGTGTATTTCAATACTTGGCGTGGCGTGTATTTCAATACTTGGAGTATTATACTTTCTTATCTGAGATTAATCAGTGGACCTTTCGGTATTTGGAAAACGCTCCGTACAAAACAATTTAATATAAATCATTAAGTCTACAAATAATAAGGATACTTTCTTAACTTAGAAATTTCTAAATATTTTGTTGTTACTTTTCTTGGTATAATTTCTTTCCAGCAAAGAATGAGTCTGACCCTTGTCAGTGTGGGAACGGTGGTGTCTGTACAGTAATAGATTTCATGACTATTTATCAATGTGTTTGTTTACCTGGCTACTCAGGTGAAAACTGCGAAATAGATGAAAATGAGGGTACGTCCTTTATTTAGGATAGTTTTTTTTTCCATCTGCTAGGCAAAGACTCATTGACTCTACCGTAGTATCATCAGCTTTTCACAGCCCATCAGAAGACAGGCGGCTCCTTAATGTACATTGGTATTTAACCTCCTTATATACCTGTAATCTGCAGTGGTTGCACTATGGGAGCATGGTGAGGCATTTGTCCCCCCTCCCTTGGCAATTTCCTCACACATACTTGAAACTTTCATCAAAACTATGCCAGCGTGCATCTATTCATGCAATGTATTTACTTTAGTCCTCCCCTTCTTCCCTTCAGATTTTTCAGACTAATAAAATTTCTCTTTTCTATTAGGAACAATTTTTTTTGTCAATTATTATTATTACTACAGTATTTATATCATTAGATTTAGGATTTTTTATAGTTATATAATTGATATTTATATAGTTTATATTTTATGACACAGCCTTGTCATTTGCACATCTACTACTGCCTACAGTTTCTAATGCATATTGCTTGATAGAAAAGCTACTTTTTCTAGCATAATATCCATCAAGCAAGCTCCACTTCTCATGCTAATGAAAGTATTAAGCTACATTTGTACTCTAGATTGGTAGTTTCAGTGTCGTAGCTACATGCAGTGCAAAGCACTGATTTTTCAGACTAATGAAATTTCTCTTTTCTATTAGGAACAACTTTTTTTTTATCAATTATATTATTACTATTTATATCATCAGATTTAGGAGTTCTTATAGTAATATAATTGATATTTCTATAGTTTATATTTTATGACACAGCCTTATCATTTGCACATCTACTGTCTACAGTTTCTAATGCATATTGCTTGATAGATCTTATCCATCAAATTTAGCAAGCTCCACTTCTTATGCTAATGAAAGTATTAAGCTACAGTTTGTACTCTAGATTAGTAGTTTTGGTGGCGTAGCTACAGGCAGTGCAAAGCACTGTTACCCAGGGCTATTAGGGGCCCATTCATAAATATACCTAAAAATAATGATTTAAAATAACTTCCAACTTAATTTTCAAGAAAAAAAAAACAATAATTTGAGTTTTAGAGGATTAATTATTGATTACTGTGTTGATTTAAATTAAGTAGTTTATTCAAAAGAGCCCCAGCTGGCCTGACCCCCCAGTTGGGAGTAGCTATTTTTCCTCTGTAAGACAAGTATCGAACCCTCTCAGATGCCACTTGAGGTCTTGAGAGGTCCCCCACTAGCACTGCCACTGACTCCCCCAAGAGTAGCACTGTGCCACATTACATGTACATGGATCAAGTCTATTGCTATTTAAAAATTTTATTGCACATTTTCTTTCAAAAACAGCTATTTTTGTAAATGTTTAATGGTAAAGCTCTGATACTTGAGAATCGTATGTGTTAAAGTTAACATGCTACTACTCTTGTAATAATTTTTTTTCTTCAATATAATATTTTGTTTGTTCATAGAGTACCATAGTCTCTCCCACACATGTATGGAGGTTGGTGTTAATACCACCATGGTGGTATGACATAGAAAATTGCTTCATAATACTCTGCCCAAACTATTAAATTTTCTTCGACAAAAATTTCTGTTTTATTTTTTATTTTTATTTTATTTTTATTTCAACCATCTTTAAAGAGGGTAACCCTTCCAGTTTAGCCCAGTAGGTTAACTGATATTCAGGGGCCCTCTTTAATAAAATCAAAGAACAGTACAAACAAAATCATTACAACATAATAATAATAATAACAACAATAATAATAATAATAATAATAATAATAATAATAATAATAATAATAATAATAATAATAATAATAATAATAACAATAACGTACAATCCTCATAACAAGTCTTAAAAGTATTAAATTGACTTACATAAAGAAAATTCAAAATAGAAGTTTAATTTATAATGCCTAATATAATATAATGTAATATAATATAGTATTAATGTAGTATTTTATGCCCATATATAGCCATGATATGCCTATATATATAGTCATGATGTGATGTCACCATATTTAGGCATGTAACATGTTTTTGTCAAATCAAATTTAAAAGCCTGGGTAGGGCTTAACAAGGGATTATGAAATTATTATTGTGAATAATGTTAGTATACTATTACAGTATTATTATTATTATTATTATTGTTGAATGTTATTGTAAGTAATACTGTTAATGTCATGTAATTATAATTATTTTTGGTATTATTAATATTTACAAATAAAAAAAAGGTTATTACACATAGCCATTGACATGAAAACTTCTCCACTTTTTGATGAGTGTAATTTTTTGTACTGCATTCTATGCCACGCAACATTCTGCCAGGTAATCACATAATAATAACATAATATGTTGGACTTATATAATGCTTAATAAAGATAAAAGACATTTCTTAATTTGGGACCACAGAAGAGTGGTCTTTAATTGGAGGTGGTCTTTAATTGGAAGTGGTCTTTAATTGGAGGTGGTCTTTAATTGGAGGGGTCTTTAGTAAGGAAACTTGTATAGACAAACGTACCATGCAATAATTTATTTTCTATCTATCTGTCCAGTGTGGCACTACATCATATTTTTAAATGAAACATCCATTTTTTAAAGTACAAGTTTAGAAGAAATACAGATCTCTATTCAATGGGCCATCTATTAACACACATTTAGAATAATAAACTTTAATATTAAGATAGATCTTCAGAGCCTACATGTTGAGCTTATGTTTCCATCTTAAAAAAAATAATATATAAAATGTGGTTTAATATTTAAAATGTTCTTTTTTTTTTTTACAGTTACAGGCTGTAGTACCTCTCCTTGCCTAAACAATGGTATATGCTTTACTGGCAGTACTACATCAGGCTACTTTTGTTTATGCTCTTCCGAATACACTGGAACACATTGCGAAACAGCAGGTTCTCTTTAGACTACATACTGTTACATTATATCTGTTTCTCCAATATCTTATATAACTGAGCATCATTTCACAACTGCTATTCATTTCTGGGGGATGGACCAAAATGTAATTTTTGGGTCACTCTGAGAGAATGATTGTTGGAGTGTTAGATTCTCAACATAATTAGATATTTCAAATCTGATTGTTGTTGTTATTAGTATTAGTATTAATATGATTTTGATATTGTTATTGTTATTTATATTATGTTATCATTAACAGTTTTATTTGTTTTACAAATAAACATACTGATGTTGCGCAGATGTACTTTGGAACTGTTTTTAGTATATATATTTAATATATGTATATATATTCAAAAATTCTATTGAGGATTTTTTCTGTGGAATGTGCTATAAAAGAATCCTATAGGCCATTTTTGTAAGAGCTGGATCTCACATATTTAATTCTGGAAAATTTAGTCCATATATATGCTTATTTTAAAATATGTTTATTTGTCAATTTTTGAATTAGTAAATTGTCACTTTAATTATTAAATTATTATTTATTTAACTTTTAGTGTTGTGATGAAATGTCCGAAATGTTTTTTGTCTGATGTATTTTTATTGACAAATTTTATTCAAAAATTGTAAATGTGCTTTTTTTATGAATTTGAATTGTTTTCTCTGTATTTTAATTGTAATTGGTGTAATAATTATAGTTTTAGCATATTTTAATGATTTCTTTCTGATGCGCCTCTGAACAATTTCATTGGAAGAGGCGCAATATAAATATAATATAATAATATTATTTTATTATCTCATCATCATGTGAGTTTATTCTAGAAAATGTTCTCTCTTTTTTTTTGTTGAAGTATATGTGTTTTACTATGTACTTTATACGAAAATGTTGTTATTTCTTTCAGCCTCAATCTGCATCACTAGTCCACCATGCCAGAATGGTGGAACTTGCTCCCCTAGTAGCAATACAGGATATTTCTGTATTTGTACTTCATCTTACACTGGAACAAACTGTCAAACACAAGGTAAGATATTGCTTTTCTTTTTCTTTATTCTTTTTTTAGAATTTTAACTAATTAACCCCTGATGCCCAATAACCCTGGCATCTGTCTTATCCTGGGCAAGTGGAGAATAATTTGGTTGTAAAAAAAAGTCCTCTCATTTGTGCCATGATTGAACCATCGGACTTCTTTTTAATGGGGAGCATCTTAACCACTCTGCCACATCTCAGCTGTTAATAGTCAGTGGCTTCTCTTATACACATCTAGATGTGTATAAGAGACAGCCTTGTAGCCAGTCGCTCCCCCTCCCATTAGAAATGTCTGAGCAAAAAATTGCCCTCCCATTAGGAATGTCTGAGCAAAAAATTCTGAAGTAGTTAAAATCATCTCATATCACCTTTTTTTGGCTAAACTAGCATCCCCTCACTTTACTATCCAGCCTGTCCCCCCCCCCCCAGTGGCATAACAGTTTTTACCAGGCTGAACTAGCTGTCGTACCGGGCTGGGTAATAAGAGAAAAGAAGGAGGGGAGAGGGAGGGAAACAGAAAGAGGAAGAGAAAAGGAAAGGAAAAAGGTAAAGAAAAAGAGGAGAGAAAAATAAAGACAAGAATAAAAAGGAAGATATCATAATGACCAGACTCACAACACCCTACAACCTCTTCTCCACTTAACTCCTTTTATTTAAGCTGCCAGATGGCGTAGGCTAACCACCGGGGAACAAGGGGAAAATATCTATCTTTGGAAAATCTTTCCCACCCCTTTATACATGCCCTTTTCATCCCCTGAAAGTGCCTAAAATCCTCAAATTTCACGCGCTTCGCGGGCATTTCTTGTCAGAGTAGGCCAATTTCCTCTAAATATTGCACATTTTAGAGATTTTTTGATCAATTCCAAAGAAAATAGAATTAAAAACACCGGGGGACAAGGAGAAATTATCCATCTTTGGAAAATCTTTTCGAACCCCTTGATAAATGCCCTTATCATCCTCTGAAAGTGCCTAAAATCCTCAAATTTCGTGCATTTCTTGTTACGGTAGGCCAATTTCCTCTATAAATTGCACATTTTAGGGAGTTTTGATCAATTCCCACGAAATTAGGATTAAAAGCACAAAAACTTTTTACACACTTTGCGCACATTTATTAGGGTTTTTTAGGGTTATCCTTTTAAGTTATTTAAACACATAATAGTCCCCAAACTCAAGAAAGAAAAAATTAAGATAGATCGTTTTAATCTAAAAGAAGGGCCTCAATGTGTATTGATGGTGAAAGAATATGTTTGTAATAAATAAAACCATGATGAAAATGCTTATATTTAGTTTCAAACACACGTGTGTGGCCTATATTATCCTTTTAAGTTATTTAAACACATAATAGTCCCCAAACTCAAGAAAGAAAAAATTAGGATAGATCGTTTTAATCTAAAAGAAGGGCCTCAATGTGTATTGATGGCGAAAGAATATGTTTGTAATAAATAAAACCATGATGAAAATGCTTATATTTAGTTTCAAACAAACATGTGTGGCCTATATTATAAATAAGATAAGCCCTATGTCGTATTGTTTTCTATATGGGGAGGGGGGGGGGGGGGGGGGGGGGTGGGTATGGTAAATTACTAACAGGGAAATGAGGATTGTATGTTATTATTATTATTATTATTGACCCAAGACCCCTGCCGATGCAACTTCACCCCCATCAACCTCCCCATTTCAAGACTGTTAGATATGCCACTGTTTGTTGTAAAGTATCTCTAAATGATCTTTTTCTGGTTACTTCTTAGTTCTTTTAAGCTCTTCAATTACTTTCTTGAATTTTCCCGATTATTTTTGCTTTTTGTTAAGAGTAAATCTTTAAGTTTAAGGGTTTTTATTTTTTATATTACTAGTGCAACCTTGCAGCTCTGCTCCATGTCTCAACGGTGGGATTTGCAGCCAGTTTGGTACTGTCTACACATGCCAGTGTCCGTCTTCCCATTCTGGGACAAACTGTGAAATAGGTAAGTAATGTACAGTAACTTATATACATACACAACCCATATTAAATCTAAATTAGCTTTTCAGTTTTTGGTAAAGTACAGTTGAAATGTCGATAAGGTATGTATGTCATGAGCGAATCAAAAACGGGGAAGGGGGCCACAGCATTTTCAGAATAGATAAGTAAGTAGGGTTTATTTCAGTTACATAACATTAATATGCAATGAAAATTAAAAATTTAGTGGAAAAAGGGGGAGGGGCACATTTCCCCCGTACCCTTACCGAATCCGCGTCTGTATGTAGTGGAAATAAGTACAGAATTTAATTACATTGAAACAAAAATTAATAATATAATCTTTCACTTGGACTGTAATCCTAGCTGGGAGTCTTTGCACTCCTAATCCATGTGGCACAGGGGAGTGCCAAGCTTCTGGTACGCACTATATGTGCTTATGTCCAGATGGGACAACATCAGATACTTGTGAATCACAGGGTGAGTTTATTGAGAAAGTTGTTATAGTGATTTGGGCTAAAGCACTTATTGAATGTAATGCTGTTGGTGCCTACCATTGAACACTCCATTCATTACATAGAATGCATGCTATTTAAACAGTACTATAAAATGCATTATATAGAGTGCAGATTATTGATAATGCATGCTATTTAATGGATACAGTATTACACTACATGCAATAATTATAGTATGATGCATAATATTGAATGTAATGCATACTATTTAATGCTATGAATATAGCATGCATATGACTATAGCATGCATATTGTGCTATTAAATGCCTACTGATGAATACATACTATTGAAAGCATACTGTGATGTTAAAATGCATACTATTACATGTATACTATTAAATGTATATTATTGTCTGCACAACTGCAGAATGCATTCTCTGCTGTTGAATGTATAGTATTGAATGCATAGAAAACATGAATGCTGTTGAATCAAACTCTTTATATAATGCATATTTTTTATATTGCATGTGAATTATTAATAACAAATGCATGATAATGATTGTATATCATGCAATGCATGCTAAAGTGATTTTGAAAAGCATTTTATTCTACTCTGTAACCTTTTTTCTTTAAATCCCTGTCAAGAACATCAAACTTTCTTTGCCAAAAACATGTGACATGCCTAAATATGGTCATGATGACATCACATCATGACTATATATATAGGCACACCATTACTATATATGGGCATACAACAGTTTTTTTGTCAAAGAAAATTTTATACTCTAGTCTGAACAGAGCTTAACAATGCTCAGTAGAGATTATCTAAAGAATTATATATTTTTATTTTATTTAAACAAATTTTCTTTTTCTTTTGCTCTTAAGAATTGTTTTATTATTATTTTTTTTTCTTAATGCACTCTCCTCAGTCATAAACCCTTGTAGTCCAAATCCATGTAATGGGGGCATATGCCTGTTGTCAGGAACCTACTATACATGTTTTTGCCCAAATGGAAGGTCAGGCTCACAATGTGATGTAATAATTGGTAAGTATATACACCCAAAAAAAAAACGAAGATATCCAGTGCTGAACTGTCTCTGTTTATTTGTGTGGTAACATGTATTTCAAGATCGTAAGAATAAGTTACACATTAAACCGTTATTAGACATATGATAGGATAAACCTTAAAGCCACTAAATAAATGCTTGGCAAAGCTTTCCTAAAGCTCTATCCTCAGTTCCAAGTTTGATGTAACATATATCTGTCATTTGCCCATATATGTCATGCTATCCCAAAACCAGCATACTGTCACTGAATCCTATACTGAGTAATTAGCATAAGAATGTGGCAGTAATGTATACTTTAGTACACAGAAAGCCTTAA